AGATGGCTCAGCAGTTATGAGCACTGGCTGCTCTTGCAGAGGACCTGGGTTTGGCTCCCAGCACCCATATGGTGGCTAACAACTGTTTGTAATTCCAGTTCCAGGGGATCTGACGCCCTCTTCTGACCTCTGTGGGCATGGCACAACATGGGTGTACTACAGGTGCAGGCAGTATACTCATACACATAAAATAAAAATAATAAATAAAATGTTTTAATAAAAAAAATACACACGAAGTCCTCCCTTTCCTCCCATTGAGGACTGTTTTGCGTTTGTACAAAAGCCACATTCTGTAATAGTAATGCAGCTCTGACGTAACTCTGAGTTATGTCTCTTACGACGTTCCCCTAGAGCTGGAAGTTTAGCTTGGGCTTCGTGTGTGTGTGTGTGTGTGTGTGTCTGTGTGTGTGTGTGTCTGTCTGTCTCTGTGTGTTTTTATTAAAAATAAATACATGAAGGACTGGAGAGATGGCTCAGCAGCTAAGAGCCATGTGTCTATGTGTCTGTGTTTGTCTGTGTTATATATATATCTGTATGTGCACGTGGGGACATTCTGCATAGAGGTCAATAGTTGGTGGTGACGTTTTCGTCAGCCATTCTCCAACTTATTTTTGAAGACAGGATCTCTCACTGAATCTGGAGGTCACCAATTTAGCCAGGATGGCTGGTCCGTGGGTTCTGGGGTCCCAGAGTTTCTGCGTCCCAGTACTGGGATTCCAAGAAAATATGTACTGCTGTACCCAGCTTTGTATGTATGTCTCAGGGATCCCACCTCAGTCCTCGTGGTTGGACATCAAGCACTCCTCTTCCATCTCGTTGATCCCTGTTCTCTCTCTCTCTCTGTCTCTTTCTCTCTCTCAACTGTATCATCTTCATCATACATTCATACATTCTTTTCTTCTCACCTGACATTTTAATATGCTTCCATCTTCTGATGCCACCAATCACCTTGACTGACAGCTGTCTGTCTTCTTCTATTCTTTCCATTTCAAGAAGACATTTGCACAAGTCAGCAACCTTCTGAAATTGGAGTATGGAAGTTCACACTTACCCAGGACCCGAGGTTCCGTCTCTCTGCATCTTTTTGCAGATACAGTTGCTTGCACCCGCTTGCACCCTGGACTTCCAGTAATGGCCATGCTTGGGAGATTGACTTTGTAAAGCTTCCTTACGTGTTTTCTGTAAGTTTAAACCCAAAAATATATCCCAGAACAGATGACAGTGAAATTTCAAAGAAGTGCTACCCAAAAATAGCAAGAAGGCGTACCGAGAGTCCATTTGTGTTCATTTTCAGGAATATTTCCTGGATTTTAGGACTACAATCTGCTTCTTGGGAGAGGAATCCAGTTTGTACAAAAAAAAAATTCCTCCAATAATGGCTCTGGTGGAGGCTGTCCTGCATAGCGAAACTCTCAGAAGTGGGCTTACTTTGCTTCCTCAAGGTTTAGAAGGAGCCAACGGTATCCTGCGAGAGACATGCTCGTGAGCAGACAGTGATCCATGTCAAACCTCTATTCCTTCCATCCGATCAACTGGGGGACATTCATTATATCATTTCCTTCACCTATTACTGGGTGGCAAAGATGGTCAAGACAGGTGATGATGCCTTCACCATGACAGGAGTCTCAGGGAAGAAGTTATGTGTAGAAATACTCTGTAACCCAGTCTGCATGAGTTGGGCCATATCACCCTGCCCCTGCAGTTGTGTTCATTAAACAGTGCCGAATGGGGCTGCTGAAGCTGAGGAAGATCTCCACCAACACTCCACCCCATAGCAGACATGCACGGAAATAATGTCACTTGGCAATCGTGTCGTTGGTGTCAGCAGTACAAGGATGAACGCTCCTGCTCTGGGGCCGGGGAGGCACACACGTGAAAGTCTCTTGTATAGTAGAGTTCATGCTTCATGAAAAACTGTATTAATTTTAGTGATATAGCTCCATCGTTAGACTGCTTGTCTAGTGTGGTGGTTTGAACAAGAAATGTCCCTGATAGGCTCCAGTGTTTGAACACTTTGCCTCAGTTGATGGTGCTGTTTGGGAGGTCATGGAATTTTTAGGAGGTGGAGCCTTTCCGAATGAGGTCTGTCACTTAAGGCAGACCTTGAGAGTTCATAGCCTTGCCCCAATTCTGGTTTGCTCTCCCTGGTTCATGTTTGGGGTTGAAGATGTGATCCCTTTGATTGTCGTTCCTACTAATGCCTGTCACTTACTGCCACACCTTCCTGCCATTATGGACACTGTCTTTGGAACCTTAAGCCCAAACAGTTTCCTTAATCAGTTGACTTAGCTCATGGTGTTTATCACAGTAACAGAAAAGTAACTAATACACATAGTGTGCATGAAGGCCTGGATTCAATCGCCCATAAGCCAGCTGTGGTAGCTTGTAGACCCTGCTCTCTGGAAGTATAAGACGGTATAACAGGCTCCGAAGCATTCTTGACTACACAAGTTCAATGCCAGCTTTGGATGTGCAAGACTCAGCCTGTGTAGAGAAAATGAAGAAAAGTTGTGTTAGCTCATCCATGCACCCATTCATCCATCTCCTGAGTTGCTAAAGCAATGTTTCTGAGCTCTAGGCCTATAGTGGGAGGTCGTGGGTATGGAACTGACGGACTCATGGGGCTCCATTAACTTCATGGACTTCGTGATGCTGTCTGTGCAGAGTGCAATTTCCTCTTAGAGATGGTAGTGTTGGAAGTGGCTGGGGCATGGTAAGCCAGGGACAAGAGAAGCTGAGTTTACAGTGGGTCGTTGAACTTACCGCACAAGCCATCTTCAGTGGTAATGAACACATCACGTTGTGCATCAGTCTTGGCATTAAGACCAAATTTGTCAGAACTCAAAATTTGCTATGGAACCTGAAGACTGGGTATTTAAGGCAGAAGGGCATGTCGGAGTACAGCTACTCAACCTCATGCTGGACAGGATGCAGGAAGGGAAGGAGATTACATCACTTCCTGGAAGACTTCCTCTTCTATGTTTTCGTCTGAGCACCAAGACTGTTGATTGATGCTATCTACATTCGGAGTGTGCCTTCCCCACCTAATTTCCATCCGTTGTGCCAATCACCTGCAAAGAGACACACACAAGTGTGCGTCATGCATCTCCTTCATGTGTCTCAGGCCAATCGAGTTTACAATCAAGATTAAACGTAACAGCCAGAAAGAAACTGCTAAACCTTTTTCAGACAGAGGCGAAGACTGAACCTTTAACGGTATGTGGAAACGCAACAGGAAGTGCCATTCTCAAAGGTCAACAGAATGTCAAAAAGGACTGACACAGTGTCAGGAAGACACAATGAAAACTGTCGTGTTTCAGTCCAGTCAGCTGTGAAACTTCATGCCGTCCCCAAATGGCCTTGTTCGTGGTCAGTGTAGGATGTTGCAACAAGCACTTCTTGCAATGCTCTTTCATCTCTCTAGATACAGCAAGAAGTTTAGACGCATAAGAGAGATCTTCCATTTGGTTTCCAAAACCACAATGTTGACACGTAAGAGTTTATTTTCCAAGGCATAAAGGGAGGCATCACTCATTGTGAAGTCCAATGACTATTGAAAATCATTGACAGAAGTGCTTGACAGTTCAAGGTGCCAGTTTCTGTAGGTTGTAATGAGTGTGTCCTTGTGCACACACACGTATATACATATATGCCTGGATTTCCCCTGTTGTGTGGCCTTTTCTAGGGAGACAGGAAGAAACATCTACTAACCCCAGATAGGGTACCAGTGATTGACCAGAGTAATGATTCCAGCAAAGTCCAGCTTGGTGACCCCATGTGTTTATTGGGATTAGTTTCAGGAGCATTGGTGAGGGTTCCTTACAGAAGCATAAATGACTCAAAGGCACCTGCATCTTCAAGAAGCCTTCCTCATCATGGGTGATAACTCATGAAATGTGCTTCCCTGGAGCTCCTTGGCATAACTTTCAGGTTCACTCAACAGGTCAGAGCTGTTGGTTTCAGGAACTTCCAGAGACTTGTGGGCTACTTAATTCCTGGGTCTTAAGGAACCTTCCCTCCTGGGTGGAATGTTTCCATTTGGAGAAAATTCTACACGACATCCTCACATGTAGGTCCTGCTTCCAAAATCTTTGAATTCGTATCTGTTGCTGACTGAAGAGAGACTAAAATAAACAGATTTTAAACTGCGGTCCATTTTGTAGTGCTTTTTTCTGGACTTAGTTGATCAGCAGAATGAGGTTGACTGTCATGAGTACTTGTGTTTGCTTGTACGTCACCTAATCGTAAGCTGCCCCACAGAGACTTCCTTTTGTGCTCTCAAAAGCAACATGTTCTGCACTTCAGTTGCATCATTTGTGAATTCTCAAATCATATCTATCCTGTCTTGCTAAGGGGGTACTGAACAGAAGGCTGGGAAGTGTCCTTTCGTTGACCTTAACTTATTCCATACCCCCCCTTTTCCTGCAGGAACACAAAGACCCCTTTCCTCCTGGTCTTGTCTTTCATTCATGTACACACGGCCCACTTCGCCAATAAGGACTTTGCCCACAAAAGTAAACATGGCGCCTATGGGGACTCAGCAGAAGAGATGGATTGGAGTGTCGGTAAGTGTGCTCCTTGCTTGCCTCCTGCCTTCATTTTGACAAATACGTCCTCGTACCCCTGGTGTCTGTGTACCCTGCGAATGTGCTGGTTTCGTTTTTCACAGAAAGAGTGGGCCACAAAACATTAATTCTTTAAGAGAAACAGCAGAATCAGCTCCCCGGGGTCTGTGCATACATTGCCTACATTCTCTGGGAGAGGACTGCGTAGATGAGGAACGGAGGCGCTAAATATAGAACTGGAGAATTGGTGTTAAGTCTTTATCACCCTTTATCTCATTACCAATTAAAGATGGACAGTGTCTTGTCAGGAACGAAGTTACGTAAGTGGTGGACTTTGGATGCAGCATGGCCACAGAGTGGTGCATTCTTGGCAAGCATGTTTTGGCACAGCCCCAAGGACCCCCATGGAGCCCTCCATCATCATAACATCAGTCGGGACTATTTCTGTCCTCCATTATTCTCTTTCTTTTACCTACATTTGAGGGTGTACAAACATTCACTTTCCTATCTGACATTCCCCCTTACTTTCTAACTTGTTAACCTTAGTTTCTGGTTTCTCCCCACGGTGATTTTTACCAGACATGCTGTGAAGAGATCTCTGTGGGGGCTCTGTTTAAAAATCCTACATCTTCCAAAGCTGGATGTGGTGACTCACACCTCTAATACTGACCCTCAGGAGGAAAGGGGAGCTGAGGCAGGATGATTGGTCTGAGGCTGAGGTCAGCCTGCTCTGTAGTAGATCACTGGTGTTTTTTCCTGTCTTGGAGCAATCTTGAGTCTGGTCTAGGGAGCAGAGCCTAAGGAAGACCATCAAATGTGACTTACGCAAAGGTACGGAATATCTTTGCACTGTGAATGTGTCTTGACTTGCAGTCTTTTCCTTCCTTCCTTCCTTCCTTCCTTCCTTCCTTCCTTCCTTCCTTCCTTCCTTCCTTCCTTCCTTCCTTCCTTCCTTCCTTCCTTCCTTCCTTCCTTCCTTCCTTCCTTCCTTCCTTCCTTCCTTCCTTCCTTCCTTCCTTCCTTCCTTCCTTCCTTCCTTCCTTCCTTCCTTCCTTCCTTCCTTCCTTCCTTCCTTCCTTCCTTCCTTCCTTCCTTCCTTCCTTCCTTCCTTCCTTCCTTCCTTCCTTCCTTCCTTCCTTCCTTCCTTCCTTCCTTCCTTCCTTCCTTCCTTCCTTCCTTCCTTCCTTCCTTC